TGCTGCTGTGAAACGAATGTCCCGCGCCCGGCTGGGTTTATTGTTCGGAGCGTTTCAGACGCATCCTGCGGTGAGTGACGGTGTGACCCCGGCAGCTGGCTGTCCCCCGGGGCGGGCAGAGGGGCAGGAAGCCGGGTTTAGCTTGGCGAGGAAGTTGGTTGAGCCGCTTTCCTGCTGCACAACCTCCTCCGCCAGGGAAAAAAAAAAAAAAAAGAGGTCAACAAACTTCAGAGCCCGGCTTTACGGGACATGAGACCTCCGGCTGGCTGCCAGCGGAGCTCAGCCCCGCGTGCCTGCTCTTTCCAGAGCCTGTACGCTCTTTTTCGAGGGAAAATTGGTCCCCTGGGGATGTTGTCCTCGATAACGAGCACGATGCTGTCCCTGTGGCAAGGAGGGAGAGCGAGGAATCCTGCTCAGCCGCCCCGGTAATATTTGCAACCACGTAACGCACGGGGTACCCAAGGACCCTGGTCTCGTTGGCATTTTCTGCAGCTTCTGGATGTCGCTGCTCGCTTGCAGGGACTGCCAGGCAAAGCAGACCATCGGCCTGTCGCAACTTCTCTGCCAGGATTATACTCATTACCAAATAACCGTCGGGATGCGGATCTCTCTCCACCTACGATGGACCAGGCTCCTGGGCTGGAAGGGTTCGATATTGATTTCTTTAGAAAACCCTGGTGGTGGGGATAAACACCCCTCTTCTAACACACCCATCCGATTTCAACGTCTGCTCAGCTGCTGAACCCCGTGCAGCAGCTGATCCCACTGCAGGCAAGGACCCTGCCTGCAAAGGATGCGAGCTCTGCAGGCGGGAGAAAAACCCAGATGAAAGCCAGTGCTCCCCGTCCTGCCGGGAACCTCCCCAGCACGTCCCGCAGGGCTGCCCACCATCGATCTCCAAATCCGTGTCTGTGTGTCCTTCCTCCCCTCCTTGGCTGTAGAGGGGTGTGTGAACAGTCCCACTGCTGCTTTTCCTTCCCTCCTGCAACCCCTGGGAAGGGGCCGGACTGAATTTGAACGGGAGATACGTTGGCCGGGTGAGCAAGGCAGGGCACACAGCACCTTCATCATCCTCCTCCCCCTGCCCCTGGCCCCTCTGCTGCCCCGGGACCCAACACCCAGCCAGGCTTTTGCAGGCTGACGGCAAGGTGCTGGGTGGCTCCGCATGTTCAATCTGCAAAGCCACCTCGCTTGGTGACACCTCGGCTCTGCGAGGGTGGTCCTCTCTTGTCCCAAACAGCCCAGTTTTGGTTGGAAACACCTTGGAGCTGACGGGTACCACGAGGACGGGGGTACCCAGAGGCCGGGGGGACCCCGGGAACAGCCCAGTTGGTTGGAAACCCCTTGGAGCTGACGGGTACCACGAGGACGGGGGTACCACGAGGACGGGGGTACCACGCGAGGCTATTTCCAGGCCACCCCGGGGCTACGCGCCTAGAACACAACCAGCTCAGAGCTATTTCCAGGCCACCCCGGGGCTACGTGCCTAGAAAGCACAGAGCCCCACAGGGGGACCCAGGGGACAAGTCCAGGCTCCTGGGAAAAGCCAGGCCATAAGCTCGGGTGGCTTCGCAGCAGCGGGACGCGACGGAGACGTCGCTCACCTGGTGGTAGTGTCAAACTCGAAGGGAAAAATGATGTCGCTGCTGTTGCAGATCTGGCAGATGAAGCCTCGCTGGGTGCACAGGTCGCAGTTGTAGACGTGATGGGAAGCAAACTGGAGCAGAGACTGCAGGAAGGTCTCAAAGACGCCGTCGGCTATCTGCAGGGCAGAGATAGGTCAGGCGGGCGCGGAACCCGTCTCCTGTCGGGTTTGCACCGTGCAAAATCCACATTACACCCATGCTTCGTGCTGCCATGTGAAGACAAGGCTGTCCTCCAAAAACAACCCACCCCCCACGTGCCTGCGTCGCAAGGGGACCCCAGAGGGAGCCGGCAGCAGCACCCACAACCTGCCAGGATGGGGCTCCTGGCTTTGGAGTCGATGCGAAATCCAGCTCCCCATCACCTCCAACATTATTTGCAACGGATACAAGTTTGCGTGGAGACGCACTAGCAGCAATGCTGGCTTACAGAGGTGAACATTTCTCTTGCACGATCTCCATGGTTCTCGGAGGATACGGGCCTGTGCCGATTATTTTGGCAAATTAAAGGCAATTATTTGCCTTGAAGCTGATGTGCAAGCTTGCAGAGTGCACGTGATGGAAGAGAGCAAGGCAAAAGGAGGATGAAGCTGTTTGAAACCTTCTACTGATGATGACGACGAAGTGCCATGCTCGACAGAAACCGGGACGTTTTCAGCAGTAAAACCCCTACGACCACGCAAAAAGCTCTCACCTGCCTCAGATCAGCGACACTGTATTTGTGGGGACACTCCAAGAGGTAGTGCCTGTGATCAAGCCTGCAAAGAAGCACAGAGAGGAAGATGGTAGATGGTTTCCACCACATCTCCAACGGCTTTGGAGCAAGGAGGAGCCTGGATGATACAGACTCTTGAAAATCACCGCAGACCCGATTTTCGCACCGTGCCACACATCCCAAACCCTGCCACTGGAAATCGTGTGAGAGCATTTCAAAGGGGGGAAAAAGAAAATAAATCTCTCATCTATTTTCCCAGGTGTTTCCTGTCCAGCCAGAAGCTCCTTGGTCAGGAAGGTGCTTCCTGAGTCACATCTCAACGTTCCAACCCAGCCAACAGACGGACAACTCCTTAGAGCAGATGACATGGAGCTAAAAACCAGCCCGCGCCTTGGCAGCATCGCTCCCTGCTCCAACGGCGAGCGATGAGGAGGACCAGGAGACCATCAGGGTGCAAAGAGGGGGATGCAGGCATAGTGTCACCCAGAGAGGGACCTCACCGCTTGCTCAGCTCCTTCAGGGCCCCGCTGCGGCACATGATGAGATAATCTCCCAGCAGCTTCAGCTGTTCCCTGCTCCGGTGGATCCGTCCCATCCTCTCCACGTGGTCGTAGAGGCTCTCGTTGACCAGCTTCACGTTGATCAACGGCTGGTTACGGATCTGAGTGAGGAACTTCAAAGCCTGCCGGCAAACCTGGGGCAGAGAGAGGCAAGAGGCGGGCATGCACCAAGGAGCAGCCCAGGAGGCTCGGAAGGAGGTGTAGGGTGGACATCTCCACCTCTGTTGATGGTGGAAACGTTCAGATGGACCTTCAGGAAGCACAGGCAGATGCAGGAGCATTTTCCCGCTCCCTGCACCGACCGAGCCTGGACTTACCCCGCGTTTCGTCAGATCCCAGTTGTGGATGAGGCGCGAGGGAATCACCGTCTCGTCGTCCCGGTGGCAGCTGTCGCAATAGTAGAGACCAGAGAAGGCGCAGAGCTTGGGCTTCGCGAAGGAGAAGCCAATCTGCCTGGAGCAGCCTGCAGGGAGCAGGGACGAGGCGATGAGAGGGGACCCATGCTACCCCGTTCCCATCGCCGCCAAGACGGGGGGAGAAACTTTTGGGAGGGGGGAATGGAGCAAGAAAGTTTTCGGAAGCGTTGGAGATCAGTTAAAGCACTTGTAGGACGTTCGGTGAGAGGTCCCCAGCGCCTTCCCCGTGGATTTAAGACCACGATGGTCCAACAGGAGCTGCTTCACTTTTTCCTCCATAAAAAAAGGAGTCTGGACTATCCCTGAACCCACTTTTATCCATCACGTGGTTCAATTGTTTAGGTTTTTTTTTTTTTTTTTAGGAAAGAGAAATAAAAGTGAATTCTGGAAACATCCCAGTGGTTTAGGGAAGAACCTAAATCCCACCCGCCTGCCCCATCACCTCCTCCCGTAGCTTTGCCCCATTTTGCCCTCGCTCAGCCCTTCTCTTTCCCGCTGCCACTGCAGGGTACCAAAACCAAGTCTGCAAGGGATCCTCGCCTGCAAGGGATGAGGTCGGGGTGGGTTAAGCCAAAAAAAGCCTTTATTATAGCGGCGGAGGAACCAGGAGGAACCTAGCTTGGGTGTCAGGGGAAATCTGCAGGGTTTTTATAGCGACTTGAAAAGCGAGCACATCTCATTTGGAGCCGGGAAGTCAGGAAAACCCTTCGTGTTATTTTTAATGGATTCAGTTCTCTAAAATAACTGACCAAGCATAAGCAAGCCTCTGCCACCCTCCGGGAAGGCTTTGCCACCCCATCCTTCACACTTCGGGGTAGCTGGAGCGCGTCCCAAAAGAGAAGAAAATTCATGGAGGTCAGATGTTGCTCTCTGAATTAATTAAAAAAAAAAAACCAACTTTTATCATTACGCCCTGACACGTAAGGAAACCCCTCCTGCGCCAGTCTCGGCTATCAGGCTGGGAGGGAGGTGAAAGCAGGGCAGGCAGCCCCCTAAGAAAACCTACACAGAAAAACCGGGAATTTGTCTTTTTGGCTTGCTGCTTCCATCTGTTGGTAGGTGGAAGATGCAGGACAGAGCCTGGAGGGGAAGGTAGAGACCAAACAGAATGGAAAATATATATATAAAAAAAAAAAAAAAGAAGAGAGATTAAAAGAAAAAAAACCTGCTGGAGGGTGCAAGAAATATAATTGAAGCAGGAGACACATCTGAAATTTAATTAACTTACCAAGGTAAAGAGCAAATTATACCTCCTGTGGAGGTCAGCGAGCGTTATCCTATTACACCAGCATCGCCCCGCGTGCCGAGAGGCGTTCGTGGAAGGTAAAATGAATGTTTTGCAAAATCAGCTTGTCACACCCACTGCAGTACTCGCTCCTGTGCTGCGCTACCGGAAAAACAGCATTTGCTCTTGACTGCACTTTCCCTGCAGGTTGGGGCCACAAAATGGTCCATCTGAGGTCCACCTAAGGTAGCCTTCAGGCCAAGACCCCCACTGTCTACACCATAAGCATCGTAAACAGGAGCCCAGTAGCAGCCCAGCTGGACCTGTGCTGGGGTGGGATTCGGCATGGGGGGACTCACCCTGTGCGCACAGACCACCAAAGGTGCCACTCACTGGGGACGTGAAGCACCACCGAGGGGCTTTGGTGCTACCGGGGGTTTGGATGGGGAAACCAGCAGCTGGCCTGCAACGGGCTGGCAGGACTCAGGGCACCTCTAATTTGATGTCACCTCGTTAATCTGAATGAACGCAACAACATCATCCTCCAAGATGGAGCTGGGTTTTTGGACAAGCCAACGTATACCTGCACAGATGAAGCTCTGCGAGTCCAGGCCCTTCTCCACGGGGATGGCCACCAGGTATTGCAACAAGAAGCTGTTTTCCTTCACGATGTTCTTCAGGATGACCTGGGAGTGCCCGTCCAAGCTGCCACCCAGCGTCAGCGCCTCCTCGGCGCTCTCCAGGTAGGACATGAGCACCCCTCGGACCAGCTCCCTCCACGAGGCCGCTTCTTCTGCATTCTCAGCCTGCAGCTTCAGGACAGCTTTGGAGGTGATTACCTTGAAGAACGCGGGTCCCCCAAGGCTCGTGTCTGGAAGGATGTCCTGGATGGTCTCTATACCATAACTGTTGCTTAAAATTTTATCTTTGTTTCTGACTTTAAAGCACTTTAAAGTTTCTAGAGACAGGGAAAAAATAAAGGGGACCCAGGTTTTGTCTACGTCCACGTACAGAACAGCCTCTTTTATTGCATCCAGCTCCGGTTCGTGAGCTGGAGTCCAGTCAAAGCTGTTCCCAGGCACGTCGCTGTACTGGAGAAGAGCAGTGGAGTCGCTCTGGATGGGTTGGCCTTCGCCACCGTCTTCTGGATACTCCAGCGACTCCCACTCCTCCTCCTCCAGCTGAGGCCGGCACTTCTGCAGTGCCTCGCGGATCCTGTCCAACCAGTCCTCGGCCTCATCTCGAGAAGGAGCTCGTAGGTAGAGTTTTTTCCCCAGGAAAACCAGCTCGAAACGGCCGTCCGAGTGCGTCAGTGCCAGCGACTCGCACCGCAGCAGGGAATAGCTCTCGACGCAGATGCGGTCCTCGTGGTCCAGGAAGAGCTGGAGCTCCAGTGGCGACAGCTCGCAGGAAAACTCCTTCCATATCCCCATGGCTCCTCTCCGCTCCAGGCTGCCCAGCTTCAGCAGCCCTCGGAAAGGGTTGGAAAGACCTGGGGCAAAAGCAGATGTCTTAGTTTAAAGGAAAAAGGGGAAGTTGGTGGAAAGAGAAAAGCCAACGGGCGGCTCACAGCGAGCAACCAGAGGCATTGCAGCTTTGAGAGCTGGTCCTGGTGGACCGTGGGATGGGGCAGGAGTTTACAGGACCTCAGTCTCCATAATCTGTCTCTGCATGGATTTGGGTTTTGAGGCTGAGAATGAGTGGGACGGCATAAAGGAAACGTGTTCCGCAGAGTGGGCAGAGACGCGGGGACAGAGACACCCAGCATACCTCCTCTCCTCCTAAGACACTTCCCTCCAGAGCTATCGTGGGCTCAGCAACACCAAGGGAAGCTGGCCCACTGCCTTCTGCAGCTTTTAGTGCTGCCATCAGCTCAGCAATGGCAAACTGTGCTTCCCAAACTGCCCGTCACCCAAAACACCCCCCCCAGCCCCTGAGCACTGCCCAGCGTAGACACCTGACGAAAGCAGGAGAGGGCAGGGCGGCACGTACCCATCTGCCTGCGATGCACAACGCTGAAGCCCTTTTGTTCCCGTTCGGGTGACATTTTGGGCTTTCCGCTCTCCGAGGACGGCACCGACAGCCTTTCCAAGTCAAGAGCGCTAATGAGCCCTGGGGCCGGACCCTCGCCAGCCCCCTCCGGCCCAAAGCCATTGGTGTCAGCTGTGCTTTCACTGCTCTCTCCCGGAGAAGGCCTGTAGAAATCATCTTCCGAGATCCAGCTCTTTCTTTTCTGTTTAAAATAAAAAAAATAATAAAAAAAATTAGTTATCAAACTTATTGAACGCCCTGCGCCCCTCAAACACGTGTGCCCACAGTGACCCCCCCACGGGGGCTGCTCCTGCGCAGTCTGGATCCCAAGCAGCGATGCTGGCCGTCCCCACGCAGATGGCTCCCCTGCTCCCTCCGATCAGGGAATGCTCCGTGGGACTGCGTTGGCAGCTGGCAAATATCGGGATTATATACTGCTGGGATTATAAAGTCCAAAATTGATCAGTTCTCTCCCCCTAAAATCATCGAGGGGCTCAGAGGGAGAGCACATTCCCTGCAGTAACCACATACAAGATATTTGGTCCTGGAAATATTTCTGATAGAGGGTGAGAAACCAGCCCTGCCGTGGAAGGGTACCAGCTTGCCTGGAGCAGCGGCACCATCCTCGTTCCAGGAAGAACAGAGATGGGGCGAGGTACAGAGAAGACGTCTAGGATGAAATAGAGACCCATGGCCTACAAGCAGATGCTACAAACACCAGGCCTGATCAGTACAGGCAAAACGTAAGGCAGGGAAGGCAGAGGAAACCTTTGTCTCCATATGTCAGGAGGGGATGAGACCCACAAGCAGAAGAAAGCTCGTTAAGCTGAAAAAAACCCACAGCTGTAACTTCTCCAGGAGTTTTTCTGGCTACAAGAACGGAGCGAGGTTCTGGGCCAAGGTCCCCGAACAAACACCAGGAGCAAAACACGACCCAGCTCAGTGCTCCAGCAAAAGGGAGCAGCTTCCCTAGACCCAGCGCATCCCTTCCGGGGCTGCATCCCACCGGGAACGACCTCTCAACTACCCTACCGCGCTTTCCAAGAGCCTTTTATTCTGAACAACGAACTAAATGACAGCAGAAGAGCCATCGCCACCCTGCAGCCAGGATCGCGGGTGGCTTGCGGTGCAGCTCCCAACATACAGGCAGGCTCGGCTTACTCCCGGACCAGGAACGCAGGTTGCTCCGTGAGTCATGAGAAAGCAGGGGGGAATTTCCTGTTGACACCGTATGTTATACATAGATTAGGTCAAACTGGCCCAACGCCACGAGGAAGCAGCGGAAACGGGATAACTGGGAGGGAGCTGAAAGGAGCAGGGACCAAAAAGAGAAACCCTTTAGGGGGGTATGAAGTATATCCTAACCTCACCAGGACGGAAACGACGGGAACCAGGACGGCAAAGTCAGTAACAAATTAGACAGAGGACAGGGCTCTTCAAAGAGTTTCCTAAAAGCAAAAGCAAGTGGATCATCTCCTCAGTGGCAGCAGGAGAAATCCCCCACAGTTTAAGCTAGCCTAAGCACCAAGGAATGCCATCCTGCTCTGGGAACAGATGTCTTGTGTGAATATTTTTCCACTGGAAAACTTTGCTTCCCATCCAGCCAACCCTTTTCCCTCCTCTTAGGTGGACCATAAATGAAGAAAAGTCCCCATGAGAAATTCGACTCTCAGGCTGTTTTATCGGCTTGCACACAGCCTACGGCCAGATTTGTGCAAGAGCTCATCGCTCTCCAGATATCGTTAACAAAACCAAAAACTGCCTGTTGTGGCCACTCTTGGTGAGGAACGACTGGCAGGCCAGGCAGGGTTTCAAAAGCCTTGGTGCCTCTTTTACCAGGGAATATCGACTTCGACCCAGTTTTTCCCAGGGCAGCTACATGGACACAGCTCCACGGGGTCCAGGAAGATGCTCATGGAGCAGGGAGCATCACTTACACCCAACTTGCTGTCGGAAGACTGGAAGCAGCACGGAAGATGAGAGTTTGGAGAAACTGGTGCCTACCCAGAAGCTGTCACCAGTTTTATTTTCCTTTTCCATTAGACGTGCTGGTCAGGAAGCATAAAAACAAGGAGACTGATAGCAAATGAGCTGTAAGACCTACCGGACAACCTAGCAGCGGAGAAAGGAGGTATTCGGCCGTCGGGCTGCAGACAGCCTGGCTTGCCTCGCTGCCGCTGACCGTGCCGCTTCTGCCTGTCTCTCCTCCACTCGGACCGCCACGCCGTGTGGCCGAAACGCCGGCTGTGCCGCTGGCTTGCGGTGCTGCACCTCCATCCCCATCGCTGGCGGTCGCCAGGTCGCCTGTCCGAGCGGAGCGTGGACTGTCGGCGTTGGGAGGCGGTTGCCGGCAAGCTCCGCGGGACGGTGCCGGGGGGACGGGCGGTGCGGCTGGGGGGCAGGCACGCTGCCCTGGGGAGCAGCTCAGCACGCCGGGGACCAGCCCTCCCTCCGGGGCTTCCAGGCTTGGCTTGGCTTTGCTGAACTCTGACAACACCCTGGAAACAGAAAAGCGAGCAGTTGGAACGTAGCTACGTTAACCAGAACCTATAAAAAACCCCAGTTATTGCAAATTGTAACCACCCCAAAAAAAAGGGCTCAGCATCACTGCTCGTCTCCTGCGGGCTGGCAGCGCTGTACAGCTGCAACAAAACCCCGTGGCACCAGCCCTGCTAACAGAAAAAGGTGTGATTTGTGCCCTACGGAGCAGCAGTCAACCCCACTGCAGGCAAGGACCCTGCCTGTAAAGGATGTGTTTCCTAACTACGCCCGTTAACGGGGCGTAGTAATTTGCTTCTGATGGACACCTCCTAATGGAGGGAGGGCGCTGGGTGCTCCCCGCAGCCCCAGCCCCACGTACGGCTCCTGGACACGTATCCGGCCGCGGACCGTGTGCCAAATTTCAAATATTTTCATAACCGTTAACGAGCAATTATTAGTGGAGCCCGGCCAGACGAGACGTTGTTCCCATGCCCCTGCTTCGCCGCCAGCTAGGTTGAGTTAAACCAGCCCAAGATTAAAATTCAAAACGACGTCTTTCCATCACGAGTTTAATCCAATCAAGGCAGGTTCTTCCAGGATCATCTTAAGATGCAAAATCCTAGAAGTAGGTAATGCCGCCGCTATCGATGGGGAGGAACAGACTGCAGCTCTAAACCCTCTCCAAGACCCTTATCGGGAAGAGGGTGCCTTCGCCAGCCAGCACCCCCAAGCCAGGCTCCTTCAGAGCCAGGTTTTAAAGGTGGCAGGGAAAATATTTACTGATTACTCAGAGCTTATATAACCCGCTGGAAATCTTTGTGCTGGGTGTTTGGCAAAAATAAATCACGAGGATGACAAACTAACAACCTCCCTCCTCTCAATTATCTGCCAAAGCTGCAAATTACAACCCTTTCCTGTGACCAAACTCATTTCTTTCCCCCCACAGAAAGCCCCGGAGCATCCCCCAGCGTACGCCAGGGAGATGTGACATTCCTGAAACCAGGGAGCAGCATTTTTCTGACGTTTCTGCCCCAGTAAAGAGGACAGACACACACTTCAGTGGCCAGAAGCTCATTTGCCATGGCAGCAGGGTCCCAGCAAGCCGTGCCGAGCGTTTCTTTTTACCTTTCAGGCTCTTTCCAGGAGGAAAAAAAATAGCTTGTTAAAGAAAAACAGGGGAGAAAGCCTTCCTGCCTATAGAAAGAAAATAAATGAGAGCCCAGGAGAGGGTTAAAAATCCCTTTGAAGAGAGAATCTGGGAAAAGACTCACTCTAGCAGCGACCTGTCCAGGTCCTCGGCGGTGGCCGTCCCCAGGTCGGAGTCGCAGGAGAGCGGCTCCTCGCTCCGCTCGGGACTGCGGGCGCAGTGAGCCGGGAGGATGCTGTCGGAGCCCAGACTGGAGGAGAGCTGGGACGAGCTCGTGGTGTTAAGGCTCAACGAGGACGACGTGAGCTTGATTTTGCTGCTGGCTTTGCCGATGGGTAGGACGGAGGGTTGAATCTCGATCTCGTCCGACCCCGATGATTGGGAGATCGAACCCAGCGATGCTTTTCTGTGGGGTTCGGATGTCGAGGACGTGAGGGGCTCCAGCAGCTCTGAAACAGGACACAGACCAGAGAGGGACAGAGGGGTGATGGTCCACTCGTTCAAAACAGCTGATTTATAGGAGAGCTCGAAGGTTAAGGACGTTAAGCCCTGCAAGTAGCTAAGGAGAAACTCGCACTCTTCAGCATCTAAGAGCAGGGCGGTTGCTTGGTAGTATTCGGGCAGCCGGGACCTCTCCCGCAGCAGCAGCTTCAAGTAACACTCCACGAGGCCATCGTTCAAAGCCAGCCTCAGCCAGGCTCGGCAGCGGCCGACGTCCGTATTGATAAAGATGAGTTGTTCCAGCTCCGAGACAATATTACTGATCGAACCCAGCGATGCTTTTCTGTGGGGTTCGGATGTCGAGGACGTGAGGGGCTCCAGCAGCTCTGAAACAGGACACAGACCAGAGAGGGACAGAGGGGTGATGGTCCACTCGTTCAAAACAGCTGATTTATAGGAGAGCTCGAAGGTTAAGGACGTTAAGCCCTGCAAGTAGCTAAGGAGAAACTCGCACTCTTCAGCATCTAAGAGCAGGGCGGTTGCTTGGTAGTATTCGGGCAGCCGGGACCTCTCCCGCAGCAGCAGCTTCAAGTAACACTCCACGAGGCCATCGTTCAAAGCCAGCCTCAGCCAGGGTCCGACAGGGCCGACGTCCGTATTGATAAAGATGAGTTGTTCCAGCTCCGAGACAATATTTCTGGGGAAAGGGAGAGAAAGTACAGAAAAGGATGTGAGCGGCTCCGTTTTCGGTCCATCACGGGGTGCGACACCGCACTCCCTAATCCCCCCTGGCCCCAGCTCACATCGGCGCTGCAGATGCCACAGAAGCAGAGCAAAAGTTTTGTAAGTTTTTTTTTTTTTTACTCTGTCTCTCAAGAAAGAAGAAAAATCCTTCAAAGGGCACAAAAATATCCCCCGTAGCATGTGAAAGAGTTATTTTCATCCGTTCTTTCATAATTTAAGAGTCGGTGATGGAGCTGGATAAGGCTTTCAAAACTATTTGCGTGTGGGCTCTTATGTAGTGTGAGAGGACTCTGCTTAGGGAGCGGTTCAGAAAAAAACCCAGCAAATCACGACAGTTACCCAGGTGAGACCTCCTCAAAGCTCACACATCAGGTCAGTGATGTCCATCTGCTTGGGACACGGGGAAATGGAGGCCAAGCATCCCAAGCAGGTCCAGGTCAGAAGAGAGACCAGACCCCGGCGCCGTGCATCCCGTAACCCACTGCTGCCGTACGCCAGTGCGGTCAGCAGGGTCCCACCGGGGACACGGAGTTCTCATATACAGCCTGGCACCCAAAAATAAATAAGAGAGGGGTGTGCCCTAAGCTGGCAGCAGCGTTTCATTCCTTAACTGTTTGGGGACATGGACTCACGCCTAAATGGCCCTTTAGCCCTTGCACACACTGAGAGGGGCCGTGCTGACAGCACTGGGTGCCCAGCCCTGCATCGCTTGGCATCGCGGGGGCTTTGCTCTCCTACCTGCACCTCCCGGCGGTCCCGGGTAGCCCCAGCCCCCCGAGACACCCTGCGAGAGCATCTCTCCCTCCCACTGAAGGGACTGAGCACACGGGATGGGGTAGAGACGTATCTTTCCATCGAGCCATCCTCCTGTTCACCATTCCCCGAATTTTGTGGCTTTGGCACCAAAAAGAGGGGATAAACCCGAGCGTGTAAAACACCTTTCGGCAGGGACGGGCACTCACCGATGGGTGATGCTCTTCAGCAGACCCCAGAAGACCGGCTGGGGAAGCGGTCCCCGACCCCCTGCTTTCTTCCCTTTCCCCCCACTCTCTGCCTTTATGTGCTTCGCCTTCAGCCCGTGCACAAAGACAGCTTCCAGGGCGCTGCAGAGGGTGTTCGCGTTCCCATCGTCGCTGGTTACGACGGCATCCGAGGTCACGTACTGCTTCTGCAACGCCTTGATGGCGTTCACCAGTTGCTTTTTGATCAGCTGCAAGACAGGGAGTACATGCTTGCATTATAAAAAAATTAAGTATTAGGAAAGATTTCATATAAAAGGGCTCAAAAACTGCAAGGCTCGTGCAGAGCGAAGCACCACGCGACTCCTGCTTCATCCCCGTGCTTTGCGGCGGCTGTTAGGGAGCACTACAGCCGAACTGGTCAAGCTGGGGACTCACGCTCTTGGCATCACAGTTCATCTGTTGTTTTTGTTTATTTTTCGTTTTTTAAATGAGTAAATTTATGCAATTTTAGCCAGCGTTTTGGGACCCACCAGGTTGCTGGGGTTGCCTTTAGAGCGTGCGGTGCTTCCTCTGCAGACACCAAATTGCTTAAGAGGATGGGGAAAAAAAAGAAGTCAGCTCTTTCCAGGGGCTTGCTCGGAGGAAACACAGGGATTAAATAAGCATGGGTGATAAACGAGAAACGCGAAGGAGGTAACCCGTAACAAGGGCTGCGATACCACTTGAACTCATGCAGACCAGCCCGAGCAGCATGTGACGCGCCAACGAGTCCCGCCAGCGGAAATCAAAGCCATCGATTTCGCTCTCAGCAGCTCATCCGTGTCGATTAACCCACGGGCACTGCCGGGGACGGCCCCCCCCAAAAAAGATGCTTTTGGAAGGACGGCTGGGGTTTAGCTGCTGCCTTCGGAGAGCCTCGGTGGGCTTCGAAGCAGGAACACGGGAATTTTACCTTCCAGCTTCCAGCATTCCCTTCTCATACCAGTTGAAAAGAAGCAAGTTCAGTGAATTTAACAATTCTACGCTGGTGGACGGCTGGGGTTTAGCTGCTGCCTTCGGAGAGCCTCGGTGGGCTTCGAAGCAGGAACACGGGAATTTTACCTTCCAGCAGCTTTGATTCCCTTCTCATACCAGTTGAAAAGAAGCAAGTTCAGTGAATTTAACAATTCTACGCTGGTGGAGAGGATGTTTTTTCCTAACGCAGCTGAGCCCGGATGTCTCAATCAACCTTATTTAAAATGAAAGTTGCACTTGCCAGCAGGCATTTGGCAAACACTGCAAATTCAGCCAGGACCCCATCAAACAATTCACGTTTCGGCATCAATCCCGCAGCATTCAAGGCCAACGCTGAACGGCACCAGCCGGCTGCGACTGGGGCGGGGCAGATTTTGACTCGAGCCTGGGTCGGCCGCACAAACCCGTATTAAATTTCCAGCCCAGGATATTTTTTTTCAGCATCTAAATAAGATTTCCAGCAGCTGTAGTTCAAGGACAACAGCTGGGGGGAACAGGGACCTTCTCCCTGCCCGTATCAGGGGGTGCCTCTTGCAGCAGGAGCTGCTTTCCAGCTGCCCCGCAGATCTGCTAGCACAAGCAACCCACCTGCAAGCAGCAACCGTGGGCTAACAGGATTAAGGAGTGCAAATGATTTTATCTGTCGTCCGTGAATTAATTCTGCTGTGGGATGAATTAAACACCCAGTTTTAACCACTGGGTTTGAGCTTTGCTCATTAAACGTGTTTAGACTCCCAAAGCTGGGTAAAGAAACCCTAAATATACAGAGCAGCAGTGCTCCTTCACCCAGGTATCAGGGCTGAACACCTTCCCCCGCCCCACGCTGGGTCTTGCCACGAGGGGCAAAGCCCAAGGTAAGAGTCTGGTGTCATTTAACTCATGGCTACCCTATTTCATAGAATCATAGAATAGTTTGGGTTGGAAGGGACCTCTAAAGGTCAGCTAGTCCAACCCCCCGCCGTGGGCAGGGACATCTTCAACTCGATCAGGTTGCTCAGAGCGTTTGATTTGCTTTAACCCGCCCCAAACCAGCCAAACCATCAAGGATTCTCTCTGCCGGAAAGCGCGAGCCACCCTTTGCCCGTATAAACCATCCCAATCCCAGCTGGCAGCACTGACAAGTCCTACCACGTCCCCACTGGCAACTCGAGTTGCACCGGGGAGTAACTGGAGCTATTTGGGGAGGTTCAGGGCATCTCGCTCACCTGTATGGCTTCCTTGGGGTCATTGGCGTGGCTCGAATGCATCTCAGCTGCTGCCGCTCCCCGTGCCGGGCGCTGCCTTCACATGTCACCTTTGGGACAAGGAGGAGGAACACGTCTGAGCACCCGTTTGGTTTACATCTAACTCGCCTGCCACGCAAAGCGCACCCGGCGTCAGGCAAGAGGCACGGATCACGCACCGAGGCATTTTGCAAGCACTCACGGCCAGACCACTGCCGGATTCAAGCTGGGACCGACCCACGACCACATCAAAACACACCACGCTCCCCAGGGACCAGGACAGTTTCAGGCAAAACAGAGAGTGGCCAAGAGACTGAGAGAGAGTAATTAACCCTTGCAAGAGGGGGCAATTAACCCTTGCACGCTGCCCACAGGCAGCTCTAAACCTGGGTGAGACGCCGGGCTGGTCAAGCCAGCAGCGATGCACGCAGGGCCAGGGACTGCTTCCCTTCTGTTTCTACATCACCTGCAATGCCCAGGCGCCAGTAAGGGCATCAAAACAGCCATTTAGCGAGTGAGCCTGAACGACGGCACCCAAAAACCTTGTGAATGGCATTAAGGTGGCCCAGACAGAGGGGTGTCACCCCCCAGCAGACCCTGGGCAGAGGTGACAGCAGCTCATCCCTCCGGTACTCGCCGGAGGAGCAATGCTGCTGCCAAACCCGGCCGGGACAGACCCTTCTCGGAGGGTGCTCGCCCTGACGGCGCAGAGCTGTCTGGGAAGCCGGGAAGGAAGGATGCTGGTTCTCCATCAGGTTTACAGTCGCTCCGTTCAGAGGCAGATGCTGGACCGCCCAGGATCTCCCCGCTCCTGGGGGCTGCATACGGCAGGGCTGCTCTGCTGCAGCTGGCTTTGGTGGGAGAGAGGAAAATCAGTGCCCTCCCACTACAGGAAACCCTGGCAAAACCAGAGCCGAGCAGGCAGCGGCAGCCTCGCTGGGGTCATCTGCAGCTGCAGGGTGTCTGCAGACAACGAGGGACCTCTGACTTCTGACTTTTGGCCTCCTGCCCTCTTCTTCAGAGCCGCCTGCCGAAACCAGGCTGTGCCTGGAGGCTCTGTGAGCAACGCACGTGGCTGTTGGCGATGACGCCCGCCGCACGGCTGCGTCCCCGACACAGCGTGTCCTGGTGCTGTGCTCCCGCTCAAACACAGCGTGTCCTGGTGCTGAAAAGGGTCTGAAAGATGCTCCAGCACCAGCTACCGCTGTAAAGCTTTCTAAGGGTGTGAGAGGATGGAGAAGAAATTTATTCCCTTGAGTTGGAAGCACTTGCCATCCAGGTGGAGAAGGACAGAGCCCAGCAGTTGACAGCAGGGTTTGGGCACGTCCACGGCAGACAACGGGCTTGGTATGGCATCGATACTTCAGATTTTATTTCCAAGCCAGCACAAAAACCCCGCAGCTTTCCCCCAAGCAGAGCTGACAGCCTCAGCCTGCCCCTCTCCCTGCACCATGAGCCGTCAGACCAGGGTAGAAGCATGGTTTGCAGACCAGCTCTTACACGGCCACGGCCGGTCCTGAAGGCAGCGGTGGCCCAAATCCAGAGCAGCCCAAATCTGGAGCAGCCTAAACCCAGAGCAGCCCGAACCCAGAGCGTCCCAGACCTGGAGCAGCCCAAATCCAGAGCGTCCCAGACCCAGAGTGTCCCGTGCATATACCACACCAGCCAGTCCCACTCGGAGCAGCAGGTCAAGAGCTCTCTGGGGACAAACCCCAGATCAATCCTCAGTGTTTCCAGAGTTCACAGACAATTTCACAGAAAAGGAAACTGTTTTCGCCACGACTTGTCATAAGATTTCCTTTCTTCGGGTTGCAACACAGAAATGGGGGAGTGCAGTGATTACAGGAACGTTAACCTCTGGCTCAGAGGCTCCAGGCGCTGCTGGGGGTTTCTGGGGGGAGCGAGGAGACACCTAAGCGACAGCAGCGGTCGACAAGGACCACAGAGAGCCGTCCCCGTCTCTGCCCTCTGCATGGGAGGTTCAGGCAGCATCAGGCTCCTCGGGGCCGGGCAGCCTCTGCCCCTTTCCCCACCACCTCCTGCATACACCCTGCAAACAAGCAACGCATCCCACCCAAGACAAATTCAAGGTGCAAGAGCTGGGGGCAGAGACCCAAGGGTGGGAGAAGCAAGCCGTGGGCACAGGGTGGCACTTCTCATGCCCGGAGAGGCAGCGTGGGTGTTTCAGCTCCAGGACTGCACCCGCTGTCCGTGCTCTCGGTGTCGGCCACCCCAGCCGGTTGCAGGGGAGGGGGTGACAGCGGTGTTTTTGCAAAGACCTCATCCAGATTTTACTAAGTCAGTGGTATTCCCCCAAAACACACGCTCCTTTGCCGGCATCATCTCTCCCAGCATCTGCAGGAGGTGAGACGTCGGGGAGGACACCCGCCGCCTTCGCCACGGGACTCTCCACTCCCACCACAACCAGTCCAACCAGTTTGCTCCAGCGTCGCAAATCCACATGGCACCGCTTCTGTTGGGACAGTGTTTTCCTCAATAATGAGTGCAACGAACCAGCTCCAAGGCGGATTTCACCTAACGCAAGTCTTTGGTGAAATACAGGGAAATCAGACCGGCAGCCCCGGCGCCGGGCTGGCCGGCTCTAGAAGGAACCGGAGGGCACCGAAGCTCTTCCAGGCAGATCCTGGAAAGCCATGGCTGTTCTTTGTGATCTTGAAAGCGTAAGAGATGGGATGGAGGCGCAAACGCAGAGACAAGCACATCTACAGCAGAAAAAAAAAACACGGCCACGGCCGGTCCTGAAGGCAGCGGTGGCCCAAATCCAGAGCAGCCCAAATCTGGAGCAGCCTAAACCCAGAGCAGCCCGAACCCAGAGCGTCCCAGACCTGGAGCAGCCCAAATCCAGAGCGTCCCAGACCCAGAGTGTCCCATGCATATACCACACCAGCCAGTCCCGCTCGGAGCAGCAGGTCAAGAGCTCTCTGGGGACAAACCCCAGATCAATCCTCAGTGTTTCCAGAGTTCACAGACAATTTCACAGAAAAGGAAACTGTTTTCGCCACGACTTGTCATAAGATTTCCTTTCTTCGGGTTGCAACACAGAAATGGGGGAGTGCAGTGATTACAGGAACGTTAACCTCTGGCTCAGAGGCTCCAGGCGCTGCTGGGGGTTTCTGGGGGGAGCGAGGAGACACCTAAGCGACAGCAGCGGTCGACAAGGACCACAGAGAGCCGTCCCCGTCTCTGCCCTCTGCATGGGAGGTTCAGGCAGCATCAGGCTCCTCGGGGCCGGGCAGCCTCTGCCCCTTTCCCCACCACCTCCTGCATACACCCTGCAAACAAGCAACGCATCCCACCCAAGACAAATTCAAGGTGCAAGAGCTGGGGGCAGAGACCCAAGGGTGGGAGAAGCAAGCCGTGGGCACAGGGTGGCACTTCTCATGCCCGGAGAGGCAGCGTGGGTGTTTCAGCTCCAGGACTGCACCCGCTGTCCGTGCTCTCGGTGTCGGCCACCCCAGCCGGTTGCAGGGGAGGGGGTGACAGCGGTGTTTTTGCAAAGACCTCATCCAGATTTTACTAAGTCAGTGGTATTCCCCCAAAACACACGCTCCTTTGCTGGCATCGCCTCTCCCAGCATCTGCAGGAGGTGAGACGTCGGGGAGGACACCCGCCGCCTTCGCCACGGGACTCTCCACTCCCACCACAACCAGTCCAACCAGTTTGCTCCAGCGTCGCAAATCCACATGGCACCGCTTCTGTTGGGACAGCATTTTCCTCAACAATGAGTGCAACAAACCAGCTCCGAGGTGGATTTCACCTAACGCAAGTCTTTGGTGAAATACGGGGAAATCAGACCGGCAGCCCCGGCGCCGGGCTGGCCGGCTCTAGAAGGAACCGGAGGGCACCGAAGCTCTTCCAGGCAGATCCTGGAAAGCCATGGCTGTTCTTTGTGATCTTGAAAGCGTAAGAGATGGGATGGAGGCGCAAACGCAGAGACAAGCACATCTACAGCAGAAAAAAAAAGCCACATCGTTTCCCAGTAGTCACCACCCCAGAGGCTAGGCAAGCAGAGCACAACAGCTCGAGTAAAACAAAGAAAATAAAACAAGTGAGAAATAAAAACAGCCAGCAAGCTGGCGCGGTTAAACCTACCGAGGAAGAGAATCGCCAGTGCGAGAGCAGAGCTGTTTATTTACCAAACTGCTGCAAAACAGCCAAATTCTTTGGGAATGGCTTGTTCGAATCAAGCCTTGTGCCAGGAGAGGCAGAGACCCCGTCCCAGAGCTCGGCTCTTCGGTCTCCCAACAAGCGATGCTCTCCGAGTTATAAACAGCAGGTCATCGCTCGCGCTTTACGAATGGAAAACAACAGCCCGCGACGACGGCACGAACCGGTGACTCAAGGCCTGGACGCGGAGCCAGTCATTTTCCAAGCACGAGTGCTGCACCAGTCACCCTCCGCCCCGGGGAAATGAGGGCTTTGACGGGACCGTGAGTCCAAGGCCGGTGTCGGGGCAGCCCTCTCCTACACAGCTTCTGCCTTCCACCCAGAGCCCGTGCACACCCAGCCACACTCAAAATACAAGCCGACCCCGAGCAGAGGCAGCTCGGGAGCAGGAAAGTCAGCTGGCACAGCCAGGGGCTTGGCTTGTTGCAGGATAAAACCCCTCGGAAATAATTCGGCAAGGGTTAGGGCAGGGTCAGAGCGCAGCCCCAGCTCGCAGCAGCAGCAGGACCCTCACGGTCTGACTTCAGCTCCTTCTCTGCGCCCAGCCCGGCACTATGCAGCACCGTCGCGATTCCCACAGGCATCGCGTAAGGGACGGGGACCAACACGCCACCCTCTTCCCCACGGAAATGTCCTCCTTGCAGCTGACAAACCTGATGGGGTCGGAGAAGAGTCGCCACTGATGAACCCCTCCAACTTCTGCCCCCGGGACACCGAGCAGGACGCCCAGGAGCGGCTGGGGGAGGCAAAGCAGCCCTTGATGGCAAGACCGTGTTTCTCAAACACTCAACAAGGAGAATTTCTTTCAGCCTGTTGTCTGCTCCTGAACCGGGCTACAATTTGCCGGAGCCGCAGGTAAAGCCGGGGTTGATTCTCCCCAGCGTCGCAGCCGACGGAGCCTCTGCACGAGGGCGAAGCAAGTTGTGAAACACCCAGCGCGTTGCGGCAAGATGTTCCCGTATTTATACTCCCGTTTTTTTGTGTCGCTTCGGATTCCCAGCGCTGGAGTGTCCCGGTTGATTCGGTGGCCGCCTGACCCGGCGGGCAGCTCGCATCCCTTGACGGGGGTAAACCGGGGGTCGCTGGAAGTGAGGCAACAAGAACTCTTTAAACTCCGCATTTTCTGCTGGACACAGGAACTACCCGGGGCTCATTCGCAACCGCTCGTTTTAAGTGAGAAAACGTCATTTATAGAGACCGTGACGCGCGATAAACCAGAGCGAGCCGCGAAGATCCCGCAGGCCCCAGGATCTCCGCGCGGGTACGGCCGCTCCGGCCGGCGCCAGGTCTACAGGGAGGAACCAGGCCGGGAGGTTTGGGGTGTCAGCGCCGGAGGGCGCGGATTGAGGACCGGACACCCCCCCCCCAGGGGACCCCTCGCCAAGGAG